TTTTTTTTTTTTTTTTTTTTGTTTTTGTTTTTTGGGGTAAAGTGGCTTTGCTGTATTTGTATTCATAGAAGTATTCAGCAAGATTCAAATATTGGAGAATATGGATTTTTATTTTTCGTTTTCTCGTTTGATTTGAGTTTTTGTGTTTATGAGTGGTTTACTTTATTCACAGAATGATAAGTATAAAGCTGCTAATCAAAGAGCCAAACAAGCACTTGAAAAGGTATGCTATGCCTTTTGGCTAGCAAATGCAATTACTTTCGGCCAGCCGATTAATTTTATATTTTCCCCTTAAAATAGGAATGACCCAACCCAGCCTGACCCAATACTCATATACGTAAGTTAAAATAATACTAAAAGTGAATTCTTCCCCCATAAGAAACTTAGTTCGGAATGCATGAGATTCTGACAAAAAAACAAGGAAATAAAAGGTATAATTAGAGAACACTTGAAATAAAAATGCTATCGATTTGAATAAAAATCTTGAGAAAAATAAAATAAAAGATAGAAGTATCATGTTTTGAATATTTTAATTTTTATATATGAGTATTGGGTCGGGTGGGCCAGGTCGGGTTGGCTCATCCCTATTTTAATTGGATTATTATTTATTAGACTGAAAATAAGAAAATAAAAAATCACAAAATAAGAAAATACTACTGAAAAATTATATTTTCCAATCACTATGATTTTTGTGTGAGTTAATAAAAGTTTTATGATTTTTGTGTGAGAAAACATAGTTATATGACTTTGGTGAAAAAAAGTTATAGTTTTATGGTTTTTGTGTGATAAAACAAAGTTATATGACTTTGATGTAAAAAAGTCATAGTTATATGATTTTTATGTGAGAAAACAAAGTTATATGACTTTGGTGAAAAAAAGTCATACTTATATGACCATTTGTGAAATTTACCCCTCCACTTCCTTAATGCCTTTCTTTTTTGTTTTCATTTCTGTGTGCTTGTGTATATGTGTCCTTTTTCACCTAATTAGGTTTTGTTTGGCTGAAGGCAATATCGATGTGTTTTTCGACATTGTGCTATTGTTGTCACATTGATTAGTTTTTCCATTTTAAGTGCAAATGTGCATGGGTTAAAAACTTACCCACCCAGTTTTACACCACACTATACAAATTATCATGGTTAACTCATAAATTGAGATGAGAATGTGTATTAATTAACAATAATTTAGTGATAACAATGTATAAAGAACATACGTCTCATGTATTCATTGGGTTGATGAACACAGGGTGCTGGTAAACTTTTATCATGTGTATGGTGTATGAAGTTATATATGCTTGCTGTATGTTTTTTTCAAACAACTATGTTTAACTTTCTCTGTGCTTTAACATTCGCCTAATTTTATAAGCAGCATTGCCTGAAAGTTTATGGTCCAGAACAGAGCTCTGATTTTCAGTGCTTGTAGGCTTACTGGTAATATTGATAGCTAGATTGTGAAGTATGGAACAACACGAATGGAAGTTGATATTGATGGGTCGTTCTTGTATGCTGAAACCCAAAATGAATATAGTGGTAAGCTTGTTTTTATTCGGCTCGAAGTTTGAAACAAATGAAACTACAGTATATAGTTTCTGTTTTACCTCCCTTTAATCTGGGAGATAATCATAATTCTTATCATTCTTTTGGTTGCCCATTTTTGGTTGGCATGTTTGCTGAAAAGCGTCCATAACCGCTCAAGGTTGAAGAAGAACAACTTCTAAGGGCTTTTTACGAGTTCAAAATTCAAGACGTCTGTGATGCTTTTAAGTTCCCACATAAGATTCAGGTATAAAGTTTTGATTATTGAATCAGCTACTATTAATAAATCAAGTAGAAGGTTAAACAGCTCTCACGGTTGTTTGCAGGCAACAGCTCTCATTTACTTTAAGAGGTTTTATCTGCAATGGTCTGTGATGGAACATCACCCCAAAAACATAATGTAAGCTTCTTATCTGTCTTCTCTTTGCNGCTTGGTAAGGGGATCGGGCAGGTTCATCATGTAATTCTCAATAATGAAATGCTGGTTTTCCAGGCATGAATTTTATTTAAAGGTCATTTCCTTTTATATTTTGCTCTAAGCAATTTTTCTAACCTTTCTTTTGCAGAGTCTAGGATTTGATCTTATTGTTTATGCTCCATATCATGCACTTGATGGTTTTATCAGTGATTTAGAGGTCTTTTTCGGTTGATCTGTTTCATTTTCCCAAATAATTGGTAGTTATTTCCACACCTTGTACTGCTGATTTTCTTCATTCCAATTATTGAGTATTGCTATTGAAATTTTAGGAGTTCTGCGGAGCTAAAGATGATGACCAGATTGTGGCACTGAAGGTAATTGTTATCTCCTTTTGGCAATCTAAGGTAGCTCAAGTGGAAAGTTCCCTCCACCTCCAACTTTGAGGTTGAGGGTTTGAGTTATCAAGGGATCAAGTGGAGGAAATGGGCCACAATTGACTCCTGGGGAGGGGGTTGCTTGGGAATAGATGTGTTATTTCCTTTGCCATATAATTTTCCTCTTTGACTATTTCTGTTCCTTGTAGAATCTTTGCTTCTAACAATTGAACGTTGTTTAGTGTTGTTCAATAAGTAGTTCACAGTTAAACCACCTAAACCAGGGAATTCTATATGCGATATTGAAACTCTTCAGTTTCCTTCTGATGGAACAAATACAGATTTCACTCCTCCCATTGCTGTTGTTCCTAATGGTTCCTCAAACGATCAAGGTTAATGCATCTTCTTGGTAGAATATCATCAGTTCTCTTTTGAACATCATTAAAGTTGGTAGTATCTTGGAGGTTCATCAATCATTGATAGTTCAGTTTAGGGTTCTTAGAATTTCACATCATAGATTTTAGTTTCTATATCTAGCTCATAGAGATACCAACCAGAGGCGGATCCAGTGTGAGAGTTAACCCATAACTTTCGACGCGGAGTAGAAATTTATGTGTAAAAATTCATTAAAATTGTAAAAAAATAGATTTGAACCCATAATTTTAAATATATAATGGGTTCAATGTGAAAAATCTTAAAAATTGAACCCATTGAATTTAAATCCCGGATCCGCCTCTGATACCAACCAGCAAATCTGTCTTTTGAACTGCAATTTTTAGTTCAAAACATTTCTGTGTATGCAACTTCCAACAAGAACAAGGAATAGACTCCCTCATAAGTAGTTGCCTAGTTGGTGACATTTTGGACATGCTTAGATGCATTACTAACTGTGGTTTATCTTCTGTAGATAATGGATTAATTTGGTAATTCCTTATTGAGTTCTTACACTTACACTATATATGGGAGATAATTCAACTCATATTACTCCAACCTATGGAATTGTTTACCAGCTTAATGTATATTCTTTTCAAGTACAGGCTTCACTTGAAACTGCTAGGATGGAAGCAGATAAGATTATGCGTACCAATGGACCACTTCTATTCCCGCCCGGGCAGGTATTATTTTATCAGTTACATGCTCTATTGGAATGATTTTATATTGTATAGATCTAACTGTAAGCTCTCCCTACTTATAGAGGATTATATTAACGGATACATATACCTTTGATGCTTGCTTCATCTTTTACTGCAAGAGAAGTTTTAGTTAACTCGGTCATAAACTTTTGAAATTTCCCTTATTCATACTTTTTGATTTCATGTAAAGCGTGGACTTGGAGAATGTTTCCTCTGTTCTTGACAGATAAAATTTTTCTTGTATTAAACTAGATCAAATCTAGCTCTTTTTACATTTTAAAAAAAGAAGAAGAAGCAATTCTAACTATAATTTCCCATAAGCTCCTCCTAACTGCCCCTGGCAATTAACAGAGGCTATATTTTTGGTATGATGATTGATTTCTTTTCTTTTTTTTTTTTTTGATGAGAGGGGGAGGAATAATCTCTACATGATAATCATTAATCTAGATAAACATAAGATAAAGTGCAATAAAAGTTATTTGGTTGGTGTTGAGAAGAAAGAATTCACATCAAATATATAAATGCCACAAAAGACATGTGCAGAGGAGCGATCACAATTGTAAGGATGGCGGGGAAGGAACAGAGGAGTTTCCTATGTGAGTTTGCACCAGGGAGCTATCTTGAGTCTGTACTTGTTTACCCTAGGTATGGATGAGCTGACCAATAGTTTATGAGATGCCATTAGTTGGTTCAGGATTCCTGCCGTCCTAGTGATTTTACTAATCTACTGTAGTATTTATTGAGTGGGATTTTCATTAATCATTCAAACCCGGAGGATGATATTAACTGGTAATTTCACGGTAGGATCTCATCATCATACATTGCTAAGCATTTGGGGTTTTTGATTTATTCTCTCATTTTTTTTAACTTACGTTTTTCTTTCCTTTTTGTTCACTGTAAGATGGATGCCCTAGCATCACAACAGTTTCATTAGAAAAGTCAAAGGAAAGCCTCTTCTCAGAATTGGATAATGTGTCCATAAGATGGATTTGGATTAGATTCTGGAGGAGTCCTTTATTTTGGCCACATTATGCCCAGTGGAGTCATATTTTTGCGCTGTACATTTTATATGATGAGTCAATATTAGATTAGCTGTTTTGGCGGAGGACCAGACTGAATTTTGAAAGAAATCAAAAAGCAATAGAATAAACTTTATCATTGAATGGTACCATATTACCCAAATGAAACTTTTTATCTGATGACCTTGTTGGATACCACAGTCAAGCAAAACTCTGGCTTTGTGTTCTGTGATGATTTGCTCTATTAAAGTGTGCTATAGATAATCCTTACATGCACATCTTTTTCGATAATTTTCTGCTTTAAGTTTTTTTTACCTGTTTCAGTTGGCATTAGCAGCTTTGCATAGAGCTAACACAGAGCATGGCATAGCAGATTCTGTCTCATTTGGACAGAATCCATAATAATTCCTTAATCCTTTGACTGACATGATAATGGTTTTTCAATCAGGTACCTTAGAAGTGTCCTATCACGTCATCATCCAGCTCATACCATTTCAGAACTTACTGCTTCTATAAATGCCATTGATTCTTTGGCAAGTACTTAATCCTGTTATTACTGCATGTCTGGAACTGTTTATCTTTTTTCCTCTTCTTTCGGGAAATATTACTATCCTTTTCCCGAGATCTTCTTCCGGGCTTATGTAGTACTGCCTGAACTCCTGGCATTTGAACAGATTGGTAAACTTGTGACTCCTACTTCCAAAGATGTGAAGCACTTTGATCGGAAACTCAAATCATGTCTTGAACCTGGTTCACATGACAAGTACATTTATCAACTTTGATTTGGTCGTCATTTTGTCGGCTTTTGGTTTCGCAATACATAGCCAGAAAATGATGCTGGTTTGTAAATGCAGGAGTAAGAACAGGAAGCATAGATTCAAGGATAGTTCCAATGTGGTTATGGACATGTCTTGAGCTGCTCTAACTCAAGTTCGTTGCTTCAAGCATATGCTATTTGGCTGGTGGAAATAATTATTGTCATTGCTGCTCATCAGTTTCCTAATATAGAGTAGAAATCAAGTAGAGTGCAAGTCTACTGCATTTTGCATCAGGTCGAGAGAAGAAGCATCCTTACAGATGGGAATTTTGAACTGCCATGCCCGAAGTTAGACTAACCATTGCAAATGGGGTAAAGGTTGATTTTGACTGGACCTAAATGATCCTTAAGATGTGTATGCGCGAACAGACAGGTGGTTGACTTAGTGGTTGCCCTCATTGGAGATGGTTCAACCGTTTCACATTTTGCTCGAATGGTTTCATAAGTTGTCATTGTATAGTCTGCTGAAATGTCCCAACTAGTAAGATAAACCTGAAATTGACATCTGATTGGCCTTCCATTTACTTGACTGGATATTTGGAGCTTGTTACCTTTTGGTCTTTGCTTTTGCTGAAAAACATCACACAGGGGCTAAACCATACCAGGATCTTCTTTTTAGGAATACTGTAGCGTGGAGCATCCAACTTAATAACCCGGTGTCATGCGGAAGCTAGTAAAGCAAACCTTGTACGACGATAAATCCGAAACCAAAAGAGAAATATACCAAATGAAACACAAACACTTAATGTAGTTCGGTCAATTGACCTACGTTCACAGACGGAGATGAGCAATCCACTATATAAAAGGAGAGTACAAAATATCGAGAGAACAACCTCACAAATACAAGTGTCAGGCTAACACTTGTCCCGAATTCTCCCCCTAAACAAACTCTCAAACCCCTTAGGCACTACATTGTGGAAGTATCATCAATTATAGAAGTCAAAATATTTTTCTACCAGAAAAGAGATTAGCCAAATATGAGATATTTATAATTTTCTTCTACAAGAAGGAAAACACAATTATGATAAATACGTGTTGCTCTTTCGTTCAAGAGATAGGAAAACTAACTAAATAAAAAAGATAGGAAAAACACATAACAAAGGACTGAATAAAAAAGAAAAGTAACCGTTATCCTATCTTTGTTTTCAGTGCAATAAACGTGCTCGATCGGAGCCAGTACTATTTTTCATTTTATCCAATCTCTTTTCCATATTTATTTCCAATCATCCGAGCATAACAAAATACTTTAATCTTATGGTTAGAAAGACCTTAACAGGTAACAGAGCTAGGCCCTGTTTGTTTTCCTATATAGGGAATCTTAATTTGAATACTTCACACCTAAATTCGTTAAATAGCATTTTTTTCTTTTAAAACCACTTGTTTGCTTTGAATAGATTTGTTTCATTTTGATCTTTAACGAAGTCTCCATCCACCAACCACAACTGCTGTCACCACCAATCTTTTCTCCTCTTGCCTAAACTCTTCCTTTCCTTTCCAAATCTTTATCTTAAGAGACCATCAATTAGCACAACAAAGGGGAATACAAAAATTAAAGAGTGTACACAACAAGAGATCATCCAGAAAAGAAAAAAAAAACACAATGAGTTACCTAAAAAAAAAGAAGAAAAAAAATCGAAGAGTAGCCGCGCTGAAACGTCTTAATTATAATAGCATTTGGAAGCGATTTTCACTTACTATCTATCTATACTATACTAAAAGCACAAAGCACTTAGCGAAATATCGTTTGTCTTTTTTACCATTCAAATATAGAGTTCACACTAGACAAAATAGTCATTTTAACTAATTTCCTAATATTTAGGAATAGTCATTTAATCAATTCCATAATAGGACTTTAAAATCTAACTAAATCTTTTTACTAGAAATTTTTACTTATTTAAAATATATAAGAACTCCTAAAATTTTAAATCCTTTTGATTTGATATGACGATACCTTTCAATTTAGTATTCTTGTAGTATCCCTCCGCAATTTTGCCAAAACCCTTTTCCTCCTAAAATTTGGTAGATGTTAGGAGTATTAATCCTTTTCCTCCCAAAATTTGGTTTAGATTAGAAGTATTAATCATTTGTCTCACAAATTTTGGTATTTGGTTTTCTTAGTTTTTCCAACAACAAAAAAGCCATATATATATACACATACACACTATATTAAAAGCACGAAGGTTTAGCGCAATATCGTTCGTCTTTTTTACTCTTTAAAACATAGAATTCACATTGGACAATATAGTAATTTAAGTATTTCATTAATATTTAGAAATATTCATTTAATTAATTTGATTATTCCCATGTTATTAACAATCTAGGAAGGCTCACGAGATTATTTGGTAAATTTTGCCTCTACTATTTGTTATTAAAATTCTGCCTTAATTATTTGGTAAATGTTTTTTGGCATTTCTTACACTAGGAAGATTAATAAATTTTTTTCCTAAACTTTCGCTACTTCGTTCACTCTCAGTAAATGACTTTATCTCTATTGGACTTGGTTAAATTCTCTTTACTCTTTGGAGTAGTGACTTCTTTTGTTACTGAAATTATGCCGGTAAAATTTTCTTACTCTAGAAGAGTTAATAAAATTTTTCCTAGACTTTCACTACTTCGTTCAACTCTCATTAAATGACTTTATTTGTTATTAAATTATCTTAGATTAGGAAATTTTGTAGTATTAGATTCTCCACGAGCACTTGTGACTTCTATTTTGGTAGAAGTTTTTATTATTTTGTAATTTTTTCTTGTCTATTACCTACACATAAATTTACTCTATATAAATCCTTTCATGTGTCAAATTGTATACCAAATTATTAATTACTGGCACGATCCGAAATTTTCCACCGACGGGACCGTGATGGCGCCTAACATTTCACTTACTAGGCAAGCCAACGTTAGAGAATCCTTTACCAATTCCTTATTTCCGTTAAGTAATTAACATTTAATTAACTACAATGAAATATAACAAGTGCGGAATATCATAAATATGTATTAACTACTACCACCCGGATCTAGAGTCACAAGTTATGAGCATTCTAGAACTTACTACAAGTAATAGTCTGAAAGAAATACAACTGTCTGAATGAAAGAAAACAGTAGGACATAAAAAGATAGACGGGGACTTCAAGGTCTGTGAGCGCCGACAGATCTACCTTGAGTCTCCGGACAACAGACCAATAGCAAATCTCGATCAACCTGAGCCGGTGTCAAAATCTACACAGAAAGTGCAGAGTGCAACATCAGTACAACCGACCCCATGTACTGGTAAGTGTCGAGCCTAACCTCGACGAATTAGTGACGAGACACCTACAATCAACCTGTACAATCAACCTGTACAATTTAACAGTATATACGCAAATAAAAGGAATGAAGAACTAAACAGGAAATGTCGGGAGGGGAGACATACTGAGGGGAATACAAGATAAAGAACTACAACAGAATGATCATTGAAGCAGTCAATATACCGTGAATCAACAGGAATAGTGAATACAGTAAAGAAGAATGCACGGCATCACCCTCGTGCTTTTACTCTCAATCTCACCATAAAATTAATAGAAACAGCACGACATCACCCTTCATGCTTTTACTCTCATATCATAGCACGATATCACCTTTCGTGTATTAACACTCACAATATGGTGCATTAACACTCACAATATGACACGACATCACCCTTCGTACATTAATACTCACAATACGGCACGGCATCACCCTTCATGCATTAATACTCACAATACGGCACGGCATCACCCTTCTTGCATTAACACTCTCCCTTACCATAATGCAATGCATAAATAACAACAGGGAGATAGAATAACAAGTACAAACCTTACTTCAACATTTGGTTCCATAATATCAATCTTAACTTTGAAATAAAAACTCAATTATCACCAGAAAATTCCGTAAAAATGATAAGAACGATAATTTGAACAACACTAGTATAAGACGTAGCAATTTGGCATAGGAATGGGACAATATCAGAAAAATAGAGAAACATGAAAAAAATAAACAGGTAAATTGGCGGCGCATAAGTACTCGTCACCTCACATATACGCCGCTCACATGAATTTGACTTAGCAAATAATCTAAGGTTCCTAATTCCCTCAAGTGAGGGTTAGACACAACACTTACCTCGCTCCGAAGGCCACTTAATTTTCAATCACAGCTTTTCCTTTGGAATTCACCTCCAAACCACTTGTATCTATTCAAAAATGACTCAATAATATCAAATATTGCTAAAGGAATCAATTATATTGTATAAATTAAATTTTCCAAATTTTCCTCCAAAAAGTCAAAAAATCGACATCGGGCCCGCTTGGTCAAAACCCGAGGTTCGGACTAAAATTCTTTTACCCATTCACCCCCGAGCTCGAATATGTAATTAGTTTTGGAATCCGGCCTCAAATTGAGGTCTAAATCCCCAAATTTCCGAAATCCCTATTTTCTACCCCAACCCCTAATTCTACCATGAAAACTCTAGATTTTAGGTTGAAAATTCAAGAAATGTAATGGGTAATTGAAAGAAACGAGTTAAGGAAACACTTACCTATGATTTGGGGAAGAAAATATCTATAAAAAATCGCTCTGGGCCTCTTATCCTTTTGAAAACGAGAAGAACAATGGCTGGAGTCCGAAGTAAATGCTCACTGCCCAGCGACCTTCGCACTTGCGGTGCTTTGGTCTGACCCGTGCATCCGCATGTGCGGACGGAGTGTGCGCTTCTGCGGAAAAGGGCTAGGCCAACTGGGGCCGCACCTGCGGACAGGGTTCCGCTTCTACGATCCTGCTCATGTGGAGAAAAGTCTGCATTTGCGGAAAAATAAAGTCCAGGTCTGGGTCGCATCTGCGGGGCTTTCGCTCGCACCTGCGACCAAAGGCTAGCAGGTGCGGGCACACCAGATTTGGTGCACCAGCAGCCTTGTTGAGGTTTGAACTCAACTCGCGCATCGCCCGAATGGCACCCGAGCCCTCGGGGCTCCAAACCAAATATGTACGCAAGTCTAAAAACATCATACGGACCTGCTCGCGCGATCAAATCGCCAAAAAAAATCTAGAACTCTAAATTTAGCACCAAATCAAATGAAATTCTCAAGAACACTTTAAAATTTCTATTTTCTCAACTGGACGCCCGAATCACGACAAATCAACTCCGTTTCTCACCAAATTTCATAGACATGTCTTAAATATCATAATGAACCTGTACCGGGCTCCAAAACCAAAATGCGGACCCGGTACTAACAATGCCAAACATCAATCAATTCCTAAAAATAATTAATTTTTAGACTTTTAATTTTCATCAAAAATTCATAACTTGAGCTAGGGACTTCCGAATTCGATTCCGGGCATGCGCCCAGGTCCCATAATTCGATACGGACCTATCGGGACCGTCAAAGTACGGATCCGGGCCCATTTACCAAAAATATTGACCGGAGTCAACTAAAATAAAGTTTTAAGGCAAAAATTCTTATTTTCATCAGTTTTCAACATAAAAGCTTTTCGAAAACCTGCCCGGACTGTGCACGCAAATCGAG